CGATCTTCAGAACAATTCAAATGAAAAACTAAACTACAACCTACTATATTAATATGATTAAATTAATTATTATGATTACTAAATTAATTATTTAATTATTATATTATTAAATTAAATTTTAATGTTATTCTGCCGAGGTACATGCTATGATGCCACAATTGTCGGAAAAACTTCCGTCTGGGTAGAATGAGCTGCGATACGCATTGAACCCTGCCAGTGCCCACGTGAACTGCTCACTCGTGTCGTAACGGTCTCTCAGCAGGTCCGGCGCTTGCTTCAGGTGCCTGGAGGATCTATAATAATAATATTATAATAAAAAAACTGATTAATTATAATTTCAAAGCAATAAACCAAATAATTAATGTAACATCTAACTTGAACTCCCAGGCGTTTAAGCCAATGTGCATATAGTGGGACTGGAGATCCGTAGCCTTGTAGCGCAGCATCGCCGGTTTGATCATGGACTGAAGGACTTGTGGGATGTTCTCGCCGACATCCGACGAAGTGGCATCGTCACTGGCCCTTGCCAACGAAGTCGATCCCGAGCCAGGCTGCTGCTGCTGCTCCTCCGGCTCTGAGACCATTGTGAAGCCCTCCGCCTCCGCCGTCTCGGACTCGGACGGCTTTGCAGCCGCAGCTGCGGCGGTGTCCGTGGACGCGGCCGCCTTCGCTCGGAGCTTCAACGAACCCATGTCCGAGCTGCTTGACATAAATGCTAACCCAGTGGTCTGGCTCCTGATTCAGGAGCCTGAAACCTGGGAGCCTGAAAGAGCCTGGGAGCCACCGTGACAGGAAACGCAAGTGAAAGCAGCTGACTGTGATTGCATGTGGTGCACGGCAAACACTCCAGGCATGCATGCAACCCTCCGCAGGTGCATGCAAAACTGGCGGCTTGCCTTCACGAAGAGCCGCGGCGGCCGTCGGCAGGTGTTCAAAACCTCAGTGGAACTGACTGAAATCTGGGAGCCTAAAGTGCCTGGGAGCCTAAAGTGCCTGGGAGCCACCGTGACAGGAATTTCAAGTCAAAGCTGCTGACTGTCATTGCATGTGGTGCTCGGCAAACACTCCAGCGGCAACACTCGCAAGTCAAAGCAACTGACTGTGATTGCATGTGGTGCTCGGCAAACACTCCATTGGCAACACTCCACGGGTGCGTGCAAAACTCGCGGATTGCCTTTGCAGAGCCGCGGCGGCCGTCGGCAGGTGTTCAAAACCTCAGTGGAACTGACTGAAACCTTGGAGCCTAAAGTCCCTGGGAGCCTAAAGTGCCTGGGAGCCTTTAAAGTGAAAGCTGCTGACTGTCATTGCATGTGGTGCTCGGAAAACACTCCAGCGGCAACACTCGCAAGTCAAAGCAGCTGACTGTGATTGCATGTGGTGCGCGGCAAACACTCTAGGCATGCATGCAACACTCCACGGGTAAATGCAAAACTAGCGGCTTGTCTTCGAAGAGCCGCGGCGGCCGTCGGCAGGTGTTCAAAACCTCAGTGGAACTGACTGAAACCTTGGAGCCTAAAGTCCCTGGGAGCCTAAAGTGAAAGCTGCTGACTGTCATTGCATGTGGTGCTCGGCAAACACTCCAGCGGCAACACTCGCAAGTCAAAGCAGCTGACTGTGATTGCATGTGGTGCACGGCAAACACTCTGGGCATGCATGCAACACTCCATGGGTAAATGCAAAACTGGCGGCTTGTCTTCGCAGAGCCGCGGCGGCCGTCGGCAGGCGTTCAAAACCTCAGTGGAACTGACTGAAACCTGGGAGCCTAAAGTGCCTGGGAGCCTAAAGTGCCTGGGAGTCACCGTGACAGGAATCGCAAGTCAAAGCAGCTGACTGTCATTGCATGTGGTGCTCGGCAAACACTCCAGCGGCAACACTCGCAAGTCAAAGCAGCTGACTGTCATTGCATGTGGTGCTGGGCAAACACTCCAGGGGCAACACTCCACGGGTGCATGCAAAACTGGTGGCTTGTCTTCGAAGAGCCGCGGCGGCCGTCGGCAGGTGTTCAAAACCTCAGTGGAACTGACTGAAACCTGGGAGAGCCTAAAGTGCCTGGGAGCCTAAAGTGAAAGCAGCTGACTGTCATTGCATGTGGTGCTCGGCAAACACTCCAGTGGCAACACTCGCAAGTCAAAGCAGCTGACTGTGATTGCATGTGGTGCACGGCAAACACTCTAGGCATGCATGCAACACTCCACGGGTAAATGCAAAACTGGCGGCTTGTCTTCGAAGAGCCGCGGCGGCCGTCGGAGGAAACCTCAGTGGAACTGAGTGAAACCTGGGAGCCTAAAGTGCCTGGGAGCCTAAAGTGCCTGGGAGCCTAAAGTGAAAGCTGCTGACTGTCATTGCATGTGGTGCTCGACAAACGCTCCAGTGGCAACACTCGCAAGTCAAAGCAGCTGACTGTGATTGCATGTGGTGCTCGCAAGTCAAAGCAGCTGACTGTGATTGCATGTGGTGCACGGCAAACACTCTAGGCATGCATGCAACACTCCACGGGTGCATGCAAAACTGGCGGCTTGTCTTCAAACTTCGAAGAGCCGCGGCGGCCGTCGGCAGGTGTTCAAAACCTCAGTGGGGCTGACTGAAACCTGGGAGCCTAAAGTGCCTGGGAGCCTAAAGTGAAAGCAGCTGACTGTCATTGCATGTGGTGCTCGACAAACACTCCAGTGGCAACACTCGCAAGTCAAAGCAGCTGACTGTGATTGCATGTGGTGCACGGCAAACACTCTAGGCATGCATGCAACACTCCACGGGTAAATGCAAAACTAGCGGCTTGTCTTCGAAGAGCCGCGGCGGCCGTCGGCAGGTGTTCAAACCTCAGTGGAACTGACTGAAACCTGGGAGCCTAAAGTGCCTGGGAGCCTAAAGTGAAAGCAGCTGACTGTCATTGCATGTGGTGCTCGGCAAACACTCCAGTGGCAACACTCGCAAGTCAAAGCAGCTGACTGTGATTGCATGTGGTGCACGGCAAACACTCTAGGCATGCATGCAACACTCCACGGGTAAATGCAAAACTGGCGGCTTGTCTTCGAAGAGCCGCGGCGGCCTTCGGCAGGAAACCTCGGTGGAACTGAGTGAAACCTGGGAGCCTAAAGTGCCTGGGAGCCTAAAGTGAAAGCAGCTGACTGTCATTGCATGTGGTGCTCGGCAAACACTCCAGTGGCAACACTCGCAAGTCAAAGCAGCTGACTGTGATTGCATGTGGTGCACGGCAAACACTCTAGGCATGCATGCAACACTCCACGGGTGCATGCAAAACTGGCGGCTCGTTTCAAACTTCGAAGAGCCGCGGCGGCCGTCGGCAGGTGTTCAAAACCTCAGTGGAACTGACTGAAACCTGGGAGCCTAAAGTGCCTGGGAGCCTAAAGTGAAAGCAGCTGACTGTCATTGCATGTGGTGCTCGGCAAACACTCCAGTGGCAACACTCGCAAGTCAAAGCAGCTGACTGTGATTGCATGTGGTGCGCGGCAAACACTCTAGGCATGCATGCAACACTCCACGGGTAAATGCAAAACTAGCGGCTTGTCTTCGAAGAGCCGCGGCGGCCGTCGGCAGGTGTTCAAACCTCAGTGGAACTGACTGAAACCTGGGAGCCTAAAGTGCCTGGGAGCCTAAACTGAAAGCAGCTGACTGTCATTGCATGTGGTGCTCGGCAAACACTCCAGTGGCAACACTCGCAAGTCAAAGCAGCTGACTCTGATTGCATGTGGTGCACGGCAAACACTCAAGGCATGCATGCAACACTCCACGGGTAAATGCAAAACTGGCGGCTTGTCTTCGAAGAGCCGCGGCGGCCGTCGGCAGGAAACCTCAGTGGAACTGACTGAAACCTGGGAGCCTAAAGTGCCTGGGAGCCTAAAGTGCCTGGGAGCCGCCGTGACAGGAATCGCAAGTCAAAGCAGCTGACTGTCATTGCATGTCATGCTATAACATGATTTTTGCTCTCGTCCTGCCCCCCCCCCCCCTGAGGCTGCGGCTGCGGCTGCGGCCACAGCCGAAGAGTGATCACGACGAAGTCCATGAAGACATGGCGGCACGGGTTAGGGGGGGGCCTTGAGCCTGGCAGCCTGGGAGCCTTGGAGCCACCACCTACTGTAGTCTGACTGACTGAGCCTGGACCTGCATGCTGGGGTCTGACCGAGCCTGGTGCATTGTTCTGGGTCTGTGCATGCATGCTGGGGTCTGACCCAGCCTGGTGCATTGTTCTGGGTCTGACCGAGCCTCGTGCATTGGTCTGTGCATGCATGCTGGGGTCTGACCGAGCCTGGTGCATTGTTCTGGGTCTGTGCATGCATGCTGGGGTCTGACCCAGCCTGGTGCATTGTTCTGGGTCTGACCGAGCCTCGTGCATTGGTCTGTGCATGCATGCTGGGGTCTGACCGAGCCTGGTGCATTGTTCTGGGTCTGTGCATGCACGCTGGGGCCTCGGTCGGGGATGCACGGGCATCCCTCACCCCCGCAAGATGTCAGTGGTGGGACCACAGACATCGTGCGGGGGTGATGGATGTCTCTATCCATGCACGCTGGGGCCTCGGTCGGGGTTCATGCACGCACATCCTTCACCCCTGCAAGATGTCGGTGGTGGGACCACAGACATCTTGCAGGGGTGAGGGATGTCCGTGCATCCCCCGACAGGCATCAACTCCAACCAGGTGTTTCCACTGGAAACACCTGGTTGGATTGATGCCTGGTCTGACCCCTCGAGCCTGAAGGCTGCAGTTGGTTGTATGCAATGAACCCCACAAAACACCAAAAAATTAAAAATCCCCGAAACGGCCACCAAGTAAGGTAATAATGATTTCATACTGTTTTCACATCGTTTTCATGTTGTGTTCAGAATGTCCAGGAAGACCCATATATGCTGGTCAGACCGAATTCATATCACATCGTTTAAATTTGGGGTCCTGTTCCAGTCATATGTGTTTGCGTATGTTTATGATACTGTGCTCATGTGACCTCCTGAAAGTGCATGCCGACCTGCATTTTGATCCTGCATTTCATCAACACAAATTCGGACGACCGCTAGTAGAAACGCAGTCATGAGCTCTCTCTGAGCCAAGCTTCACATGTGGATCCATGTTCTGAATCGTGTTCTCAATAGCTCTCGAAGCCATCATCTGTGTATGCCAGCCAATAAAAATGCAGTTGAGCAGGATCAAGGAGCCACTGAACCACTCCTTAGTCATCTCATGTTCGAAACTCTTGAGCGGGCTGATGCCGGCATGTGTGAACAACAAGATGGGCATGAAACCTTGTGCCTAAGGGCCTCATGCAAACCTATGGCCCAGCAGCGAAGCACTTACTCCGCACCATGCGCTCTGACCAACTTGCCTGGCCGACCAGCTGAAATACAGCAGAGCTGAAACCTAGACTGCCCGATTCCAGACCTGGGAACCAACATGTGCTGAAGACCTGGAGACGTGCCCACGCCTCAGACATGATCTTGCCGATCTGCGATTTTGACCTACAGGCGGGCACTCGTGAGCGATGCTAACGCTTGATTTCTGGCGACTGGCGTGTGCTATAATGAGCGGCTATGAACGGCTGTCCCCAGACGTGGGCACGGGGCTTGTTGCACCCCCCTGCTTCAATGCGCTTTGTCTCAGGAACCGAACTTTCACGTTGAGGCGAAGGCCATTCACTGATATGCACTTCCAAGTCACATAAAATTGCTGTTAACTTCTGCGTTCTTCCAGCGCATGTGGCGCCTGACAGCGGAATTTGGAAAGCAGAGAGTATGCACTGAGTATGCATTGGAAGAGCGAACACGTTTTCTACACATCATTGTAGCTTCCACGATTCTGTATTGATCAGATCCCCAGCCTCTGCCTAGAAGACATCTTTTGTACGGGCTGATCCTCGTTCGACACCTGGGGTCCTTCGGACAAGGCAGTGCACCTCATGCAACTGGCAGCCGGGCAGCCGATATCTTGGCAGGGTTTGCTCCGCCCAGCTCAAGGAACGAGACTTGGCTTTCGAAGAGTGACCCCTAAGCCTAGCTCTGAGCTGTAACACATCCGGGGGTCCTCCCAGCTTCTCCGGCGCGAAATCGGCGGACAAATAAATCGATGGATCGCTGGTGGCCCCGTGGTCCTCGCAGTGCTCAAAACTTGGATGGGATGAGTTTGTTGCAAGGAATGCCATCGGCTGGTTGTTAAATGTCGGGCAGCAGCAGATTCCTGTTGCCAGCAAAACCAACACTTGGACCTGGACGCTGTCCAGAGTGTAATGCCTCCAGAATCAAGCTGTGGATCGCTTTGGCACTCCCGAGTCCCTCCTCCATCGCTTGTCCAGCAACCGGCGGTAGGCAAGAGGGTGGGTCTGGCTGCTCGAAACCCATACTTGGAGGCATGGGGACTGATGCCATTGACGCACCTCAGCACCCAAGACCAAGGTCGCGCTCATTCCAAGCCAATGCTCCCTTTATGGGCCGTCACGCTCGGCTTGCTAAGTCCGGGGCTACAGGTGGCATTGCTGATGCGGGCTGACTGCGTGTAGTAGTCTAAACCTGAGTCCAGGGAAGTTCTGATACTAAGATGTCGAGCTTGTGGGATGTCGGCTCGTGGCTTTATTAAAGCTCAGGTGTTTCTTTCGTTCAGGTTGCTTGTCGGCATAGTTCAATGCTTTGGGAGCAATCGGTCCGCATCCTCAAATTGAGGGAATCACTTATTGACATGCATGTGACCGTCCACATCTTGTCAGTCTGACCATCGTGAACAGCAGCTTGCTTTACTGGCTGTGCAGACATATCAGCTTGCCAAGCAACTGCGCAGGAGATCGCGCTTACCTGTAACTCATGTACATTCATGCACCACATCATCTCGAAGTACTGGAAGCAGGCAGTGCCGTTCAAGTTTCGCGCTTTTGCTGGCTAAAGTAGAAGCACACAGGTAGCGAAAGCGAGACTTCAACTGAGCGGCTCTCGTGCAGTATTCTCTCCACATCTTGCTGCAGTTTCCTTGGCGAACAAACCACGGCAGTCATGAGGTATGGCAACAGCCGGAAACATTCTGCAAAGGCAGCAACACCCAAGGAAGATACAGGTCAACAACTTTCCAAACCTTGAACTCGTCTGTACATCGCAGGTGGCAGCAAATGGCACCGAGCCAAGCAGCTGGAGTGCATCATGGTTGCCCAATGAAAGCCGCGCCGGGGCACTGGACGCGGAATTCATGAATGCGCACCACGACAGTCCAGAATTTATCCCATAGTTCATTGCACTTTTTGGGTACATTCGTGACGCTGTGCTGCTGCAGATGCGACCTACCATGAGCGTTCAAAACTACGCTGTAGTCTTTGTCTGCGCAGCCATTGTGGTGGCACATGGGGCTGAAAGCGGCAAGCAGGACAAGCGAAGGCGAAGCGACATTTCACCAAAGACACGTGCTTTGTCAGCAATTCAGAACATCAGGCTTTGCATTGGATCGTTTTCGTGTAAGCTGCCGGACTCACCTGATATCACGTGATGCTGCGCCGCAGGACACCTGAGCTTGAGACGGCAAGTGCCTGGCAGCTGTCTGAAAGTGAGTTGGGAGCAGTTGAGTGTGAATCAGTCCATGATAGTGCAGTGGCATGCGGCCTGAGATGCCCCAAGCTCGTGCAAGTACTTCCTACATCAGCATTCAGCATGCGAGAATGGATGAAGCCTCCGACAATCCTGGAACCAGCGACTGCAAGACACAGGACCTCAGCTCAAGAGCTATAGAGGTTGCATACTTCACGCCTTGCTCTCCACTCTCACGAATTGATCTGGATGCTTCAAACCTGCCCATGCAACCGGAATCTACACCGCAGTTCTGCGACCTTCGAGATGCTCTGCCGTGGCCGTGGGTGCAGGGCCAGCTCGTGCTTCAAGCCCAGTAGATAATTCGGCGTCGCACGATCATTTAGCCGTCTGATTTCTGCCTCAAAGGACTGTATAGTCTATAGTGTTATAGCTTATTATAGCGCCACATGCAGACACTGAACCAGTTACTTCTATGGCTCTCACAACCCGGATTGAGCCATCAGATGAAGTCTGTACTCCCACGAATATAAACAGCGGTCAGCGGCAGTACAGCATTTTCGCACACATGCATCTTGTATTAATTCTAGCTGTGGAAAGGGGCGCGAGTCCTGAACTGACGGAGAATGACTGTCCGGCAAGGATAACCTGGTCGAGAAAGAGAAACTACTACAAGTCAATAAATCAGTGACAGGTCACACACACAGACAGACAACACCGAGGTCTCACGATCCGGTTGCGAGCAAGTGGAATCTTGGAAGAATCGCATGTTTGAGCACCAGAACATGCAAAACTCTACCTCCTCACGGCTAGGCTAGTCCAAGCTGAACAATGATGTCAAGTTACTTGTGTGTCTAACAATGAAGCGCATCAGATCCGCAACGTTGCTCACCCGCCTGGTGTTCTGTCGTTTGCACTAGCCTTGAACCAGTTTTGAACAATTTGCAACGGACCGCCAGGAAGTCTTGTTCTGTTCGCAGAATGCGAAGGAGGATACCACAGGTCTACACCGTCTACTCGTCTGTGCACCCACCACCTGCGCTTACCGAATACATATGTAGCAGAGGTTGCGTCGGCCATCTGAGCTCCTGAACGCCATGCTGCGCACTCCTCGCTCTTCCGGGTGGCGCCTGAGCAAGCCGACGAACTCAACTACCGAGGCGTTTTTATGGGGAAAGCTCCGAGATATCCGTATAGGCAAATCGTGGGCCAGCAGAACCAACAGGAAGTGCATGCTCTACAGCAGAGACTCTCGCAGATTTGGGTGCATCCGAGACTCTGCAGCGCTGCAGCTGAAAGTTCTGCCACTCCTTCCGAGATTGTGAGGCAGACTGCAGAGCTGTCGGTGAGCACAAGCAATTCACAAGAGCTCGTTCGGTCCTAGTTGCGCAGCCATTTCTGTGTTGGCAAGGTGCTGCTTCATCAGGCACCAAACTGCCTCGGCTTCGGTTTCCTGCCCTGCAGATCCGAGCTTTCAAAGCGGCGCGTGCTACTTGACAGTTCCCATCGGACAACATGCATCTACACGCTCTCTGTACTAGTGTCGTCTTCGTCATCAACCTCTCTCTCTCCTGCACACCCCTTTGGTGCGGTCTGCAGTCGGAAAGGGTCGTGTTGAGTCATGAAGGTCAGCAAGGACGTCAAGAGGAACAGAACCAAGAAGACAATCGTTATAATACCTCCTAGGTATCCTAACGCTACGACGAGGGTAATGCATGCCTTTGACGTCTGGTGACAGCATCAAGGATCATCCGGTCGCACCGAATCCATAAGTATCACTGCCGGCTCATAGCGCAACAGAACAGACGGCCGGATGCTTCTGCTGTAGGACTGTGGAGGGTACTGTTCTCGGGAATGGGAAGTGGCTCGGGCTACCGGGCCGAAGGCCCGGCCGTGCTGTCAGCTGTGGGGGAGAGCGAAAGCAGAAGCGTGCATTGTCGTCTGTCGCTGTCTCCCTTCCTGCCTTTCTCCCTCTTCACATCGTCACATCTTATCCACATGCCACAGCACTGGCAGCCTACACATGTTCCTCTCCCAAGAATGAAAGGATTCTGCCCATAAGCTCACGACCCCAAGTGATGCAGCCAGAACCTGGGCAAAACCCGATGTTTTTCCCACCCGCCCAGCTGACAAAGTCGCACCCGATGTTGCATGACGAGGTTGGTGTAAAGGCTGCAAAACGTGAACACACAGCTCGTACGCCATGTGTACCGTTGACATCACTTACTGTAGCTGATTGCGAGAGGACTCTGCGGAAAGCAAGATATGAACACCAGAAATCCCCCACGAATGAATGCCATGACAAGAAGTTGTGTCGGCAGTGCTGCGTGGTACGCCAAAATCTGAGCCCCAAACAACCGGATTCGATTGATGATGCTTCAGCACGTTCACCACCTGAGCATTGCGGGCAGAACCCGAGGGAAACACTTGGCACGGAAATATGATGTTGGAGTTGGGGGCAGAGGCAGCTCCCAACCTTTTCGACCCGGCAAGTGCGCGCACGTCTTGAGGGTCAGACTCTTTGCAAACCTCCTCGGGAAGCAATGGCAGCCTGTCATCACGAAGACTACTGTTTGCAGAGTTTACAGCCCAACATCCAATTAAGCGAAGCAGCCGCGAAGCCTGTGTCTGTTTCCTCTGATTCAACCCAGGAGTGCGACACCAGATTGCAAGTGCACTGTGGGGCTTCCTAGCAGTAGACTGCTTCGCTGCTCTTACTTCTGCTGCCCACCTGGTTGTTCGGGCTGTTTGCCGCGAGATTCCCAAGGGCTCCGCAGGCCATGGTCTGCAGCCGAGCCTCGACTTCCAATGCAACGCTACCTCCGACGACCCTTGCGCTGGCGAGTTACTGGCGCATGGCGAGCCCGCGAGCCTCTCGAATTGTGCTCCTCGATTCCCCACAAGAAGCTGATGACTCTGAGTTCGCATCATGGTGGACGAAGGCGTCCATGGCAGAAACGATCACCTGGCACAAGAAGGGGAGATGTAGCGAGTGGTCGCAAGCAAGGCCTAAAGGACACAGCACTGATCTTGGCCTCAATGGAACGACAGCCGAGCAGGGCAGACCTGGGCTTGGATGATTCTGAGACTCAGCTGCGGGCATCAGCGACTCAAGATGAGATACTGTAGCGAAAGCGGCCTGGATCCAGCACTGTAACTCAATCCTTGAGAGCCGGGCTGGTTCAGCGGATGATTTGCAGCCAGACCTGCGAGATACGCGGTGAACAATGATGAATCACTGCAGCTCAACTTAAAGCTGGAGACTTGTCAGCAGCAAAGCTCTCCTGATTTCCGTCCGAGTGAAACTTGAGTGCGCCTGCTAAGCCACTGCATGCTGCCGCCAGGAGCCTTGGTCAAACGAAAGAGCGCGTGACTGCTCGCTTGCTTCGTGGCCATCCAGAGTCAACACTTGCCAGGTGCAATGTCGCATCAGATCACCGCTGAACGCCTCAAAGGTCCGAAGGCAGGATCCTGAACTTTCAGTCAGACACCCGTGGCACCGTGACTGCTCAGTGCACGCGGCTTTTCTTGCATGCAGAGCGCGCAAACATCCTTACTGTTGAGGCTGCGGGCTTCATGTGCTAATTAACATCTACGCCTAGAACTACTATACTTGCGGTCGAAGTCTCTTTAGAGGCTAGAGAGACCGAGAACGCCTGCCTGTGGGCCTCGCGAGAGACGCGCCCCTTCTTTCCAAAGGTGCCGGCTTGGCTTCCCCTCGGGACGGTCCCTTGGGCGTATGAAGAGGGCTTTGCGCATGACGAGCTCGCCCAAAACCGACACGTCGGGCCTCCGCATCGTAGATGGTGTAGAACATTTTCAGGATGGGCTCGCCCAGGACGAAAAGCTTGGGTCCCAAAGGCTCTGGCAAGTCCATGACCATTAACATGGGCCTGCAGGTAGCTTGGGCATCTTGGGCTGAGGGTGACTCTTTGTCCAGGCGGCTAAAATCGCCAACACTCAGGTTCAAATTCGAACCATCCAATTCCATCTGAAGTTGTGGACCTTCGGAGCAGCTACCGTCTCGAGCCGGAGCAGACAACTTCTGATAGAGGTCACTGAACAAAGGGCTGGGAACGGACAGAACTGACGTGCCAGAATCGACGACGGCTTTGCAGCCTTCCTTGCAGAAAGGCATCTCCTGGCCATCCACCCACAAGCCTTTGATCTCCAAAAGCCAACGCCCCAACTCTGGCTGCAGGACGGGGCTCCAAGTTACCTCTCCACTCACATGTTCTTCCGCCCAGCCACCCAGGGTGATTTGGCTGGTTTCCCCATCATGACTTGCCAGGAAGATTCCGAAAGTCTTGCTGAAACCACTGCCGCGCTCAGCTGTCAGAGCAGATGCAACATGCAGGAAGTTAAAGGCCGGTGATTGCGACAGGCTTTCCAAGCCGAGACCCAAGACGCCATCAAAGACAAAGTCGGCAAAAGGGTCTGGAGACATGTCAGTGGCAGCGATGAAGCGCATGCGCAGGCAATTCCCTTGGCCTTCGCCCGAGTCGCCCACGGGGCCTGTGCCAACTCCGGACCCACCCAGGTGGCTATGGCCATGGCCCAGGCAAAGCAAGTCTTCCAGAAAAACGCCCATCACCTCTCCGGTCCCGAAGGACACGGTGATCTGATCTCTGGCTTCGCCCATCTGGACCAGACGCCCGTCCCAGTCTATGTCCTTAAGCTGTCGACACCGGAAATATAGAAATGCAAGGGCTAGCCTAATCCTTGAAAAACAAACGTTGCCCAGCAGCAGTTGGTCCTTAGGGCTTGGACTCGCAAGAATGAAAAATGACTTCCAAATGCGAAGACATGTTTCACGTGCTGTGGCAGAAGAGCTCCGTCTGTAGCGTCTGTGAGCTTTGCCTGAGACAGTTTACTAAGCCTGTGGGCCTGTGGGGTTATATATATATATATGTATGCCTGCAGGGGAGGCAGCTCTACTTTTGCAATGCATCGTCTGGCTTTAACTCCTAAATTGGAAAATGAAAGAACACATGCTTCAGGAGACTGAGTTGCACGTGCTGGAATGACAATACGAGCTCGGCAAGATCAGGTGTCCGCTTCCTGTATCGAAGACCACCGTGAAGGGCTTGGGCGGTGTCCCCACCATAATAGTGCCGTAATACGCGCCTCAGTTTGAGGTGTCATGTCTCAAGATCCAGACGGAATGTGCGAACCAAATAGCCAAACACACACACACACACACACACACACACACACACACACACACACACACGCACATCAACACAAAATACCAGACGACGTCTTCGCCAGGTTGCTCTTGTAGTGGATGGCATCTTCCAGGACATGGATCTCCTGCTCCGATCGCTCCAGGTCAATAGTGATATGCCCCTCGCGGATGTTTGGCTGCATTCGGACGGCCTCTTGTTCAATGTCAGAATACAGTGTTAGTTAAAGTTATAGTGTCGCTGCATTCAGGTTAGAGTTCTTCCTTCGAGCCGGAAAGTACTAGAAGGCTCTGCGATCAAGTCTTGGGCTCGCGGGCAGACAAATAGTGTTGTGGACTTTGGCGTTCCGTGCCTTGGCTGCCGCAGGCGCAGCAGACGCATTGCAGTCAGCGCTTCCGTACGAGTCGACGAGAAGCTGGGTATCACCTGCCAAAGCGCACAGTTTGGATTCGCTGACTGCCAGGCGGGTCCCTGCCGTGCTCGAAAGGTCAGTTATGTCGCTTGGCATCTGTCGCTTCGACGTGAGGTGATGAAGGCTCAGCAGTGACCGCGTTCGCGCGGCAGGCTCTGCCACGGTAGCATCACCATATCCCACAGCGGCTACCCTCAGAGCACCATCAAGCCACCAGAGCAGCAAGCACCTGTTGAAAAGCGCTTTCAATCCACGGCCTTGCTTCTGGCCATTCTCAATCCAAGCTTGTCTGCAAATGCCAAAGTGCACCGGATTGCGGCATCTGCGCGATCCAGGGAGGAATATGGAACAGCCAGCAGAACACACTGCAGGCTCGGGGTCACGCTGCAGCATGGCAGCGTCCTAGTATAAGGTTGCGTGAATAAATCGCTTACCGGATGAATCAAAGCGGGCCTCTGCGCAAAATGCGTAGTGCCCGCAAAAAGTAAGCTGAGCTCGCATTGGATTCGAGCCGCACAAAAGGACTACCCCAGAAGACTCTGTCAATGATGCAGTCTGTTCGTACCCGGCACTGCGACGCATTGCCGGTCAGTCTGTTGGTATAGCATCTGCACTAAATGCTAGCATAGTGGTACATCCCGACAATGAATCCCGACAATGCAACAGCTCCACACATGCATTTGAAGCGAGGATGACATGCCCCTTGGATCGGAACTCCGGGTCGGTAGGAAATCGGCGCATCGCCTCAGATTTGAAGAAAGCTGCGGATACACAGAAGCTCCAAATTGAGCTCTCCAGGATCACGGCATACAGGAAGGTACGCTCTTCACATCCAACTTTGCACTGTCATGACTGAAACAGAGCATAACCTCATGACGAAACTTCAATGCAAGATTTCTCTCACATGAGCTAGGCCATCAGCCGAGACAATCTCCTCCGTAGCACCGTTGTTGGTTGCAGCCTATAGTGTCAAGTCAAATTATGTCCAGTCGCAGTTGACACTGGCGCGCCAGAACGATCCATGAATGCATACCAAGCTCCAATCTCCACAAATCTCGTCAAGCACGAGAAGTTCCGAGTTGGGACTCGGGACTTTTGCATCCCTTCTCTCAGGCATCGACTGCTTGCATGGCTGGCCAGGACGCTGCAGAACTCAAGGCGGAGGCGGCCGCCTTGCGGTCCGTTTCAAAGTGTCGCTAACAAATGTTTGCATACCTGGATGTTGGAGAGAGCTCTGTATCAGTGCAAACTCACTCTCCTCTGCCACGTCTGAGAACAAGTGTTGAATGCCTGTTAACAGTTGACAGAAAGACTGCCACCTGCCTCCTGCAAGCGCGCGTTTGCAGTGTGTCTTCGCATCGCAGCTGCGATTGCCTGACTGTCGGAGAATCGGGTTGATCCGGGGGCCGTCATGCGAATATCGCGAAGAGCCTACAGTGATGGGCCACCTCTTCTTCCAGAAGCCATGTGACCAAGCAAGCCGTAATGGTGCAGAAAATCATGCCATGAGTCCAATCTAGCCAGGTTCCCACCACGGCCTCCACAGTTCCAAAGGCTTGGTGGTCAGAGAAGGAGGACTGACAACCGCGGAGCCAACTTCCCAACCTTTTTGAGCAAGACTTGCACACAGAGATATCTTTTCGTCAATCGACAAGTTCCAAGTGCAGTCGGCCCCCCTTTTTGTCCAGTACTTCGGGACAGGGCGTCTCTAAACCTAACGTCTGCCTGGAGCTCAGCCGTTCTGGCAGCGGCAGTGTTTTGTTTCCTGCTGGGGCGAAGCCAAGCAAGACAAGCCTAGCGAATCTCCCTGCGACTATCCAGGGACAAAGGCTCAAGCTGGACACCTTCTTGGATCCACTTGAGCTACTTGAGTCGAGGGCAGCACGCTCCTCAAACCCAACGACAACTGAATCAAAGGGTTGTAATGGTGAAGCTAGGAAATCAACATCGTAGCGAGGACGATGTAACCTAAAGATGTCATGCTGATGCCAAGAAAGGAGTTGAAGAAGAAGAGGTTGCTTTCTCCTCGGGTCCAGACCCAACTCTGAGACTACATTCTGCAAGGATCTCCTCACTAGTCGATTCCTGAGAAGTCGGCCGATGCATTTGTTCATCCAGGGACAGTGATGGTCCCAGCCGACAATACCTCGGACGTGGACACATGAGCGGGCGCTCCGAGCAACCAAGCGAGGAAACTCTTCGCACAACGACTTAAGGGCAGTGCAAACATGGCAATAGTCACAGTGAAGAGTGCCCACTGGCTGCTTGAGGTTACACGCCTTGGCTGCAGAATGTAATTCCGGTATATTCCGGTTTTCGAAACCCGAGTTGTGAAAGCAGAGCCCGAGCTGCTGTGCAGTGCCTCTTCCCGTTTGAAGCGAAGTACTGCTCCGGCTCTCCTGGACCTGTCAGAGCACCTAAACGCGAGAATCGCCTCACTGCGACTGCTGCTGCATCCCCCCCACCTCCCTTGCTCCCGGGCCGTGGCTGCAGAATACCGGGGCTCCTGAGATCGACGAAGCTTGCGACTAAGTTAGCTTGAACGTGATGGCAGTGACGCATTGAAACCTACCCAGCTGTGCGAGCAAAAAATTCAGCCAAGGTTCGAAACAGCACAGCACAAAAATGAGATTGCCGAGCTAACGGTTGCCAGAACGCCGAGACCTGAGTGAAGCCTCGGCACAAAGCTGTGGCTGGCAGACGGCGCTGATTCGGTCAGAACTCCACATGTTCACTTCAAGAAGAAGCAAAGCAACCTGGCGCACCAAAGATTAAAACGGGTCTCGACTAACAACACACCACCAGGAGCCAGGAACCAGCTTTGAGGACTGGCTCTTTCGGACAACGGAACAGCCAAGACCAGCACAACCTATGCAGCTTTCCAGGAACCTCTTGCTACTAGTAGCAGCTCATGGAAATCAAAATGAATGATGAAACTGAGCTGAAGACAAGCTGGCTCTTGCTGTATGATACCTCCCCAGACACGGGCAAGCACTTTGACAACCAACTTGCACTCACTGAGGGCACATGATAAAGGAGCTGCCGATGCCCAAGATGACCTTCAGGCCAGGCTCTTCTACTGAGCAATACACAAACCTCAAGCTCTGAGCCGACTCTCCCAAAGCAGTGTCATGTGAGCTGCAGCTGAGGTGCTGCCAGCATGATAATGGAACCTCGGCGATCGTGTCATGCTCTAGGCTGTAGGAACAATGTGGCAATCCCAACCGTGTTCAACCCTACAGCCGAGATGCAGGGCCAATGTGGCCCTATGTATGCTGTTCGGCCGAAGCATCGGAGCAAGCGAATTCTTCCGATTTTTGCCTTGGCTTGAGCATCAGGTGGATAAAGCAAGCATCCTGGGGTCGGTGATTTTGCACGCTTGTCCAACCATGTGGAAAACTGGAAGGCCCGGGCTAGCTGCTTGACACCCTTGCGATGTAAACCAGTGCAATCTAGAACGCCATTATGCAAAGATCGACAGCAGATGTAACGCGGCGCACGACAAGTTGCTGGTGCATCGGGGCCACCAGTGAAGTAGTCAGGCTGCAATGGCACTTGTCGTGCCTGGCGCCGGGAATGTGGCCGATCCAGGCTCAAGCACTGACTGTGGCTTCTGCGACTTACCCACGCGATCTGCGGCCCCACAGCCTTCGCCAGAAGCTGCTTCTCAACCTGTTGCGTGCTCAATCTGAGGATTCCCGGTGTTGCGCCAGGCTGCGATACATGATCTCTCGCGTTCCTCGTGATTTTCCGAAGCCTGCCTGAGCCTCCTCGTCGGGATCTATGCTTTCACGGCCTGTCAGCGACGTCATTACGGCATCCCCTTGCCGCTGCCAGCTTCAACGATGGTTTGCAAGCTCTGGCCTTCGCGCACGCCGGACGCGGCCTCTGTTCCCACCATGACTGGCGCGAGCTCCACAGGCATCGCGGCAAGACGTGCTTGGACCACTCACGCTGCGGAAGACACTGTCAGCGAAGTCCGGAGATGTACGAAAATCACAACGCAGTCACGGCGCACTTCTCGAGCATCCAGGATCCCGGGCACTCTGCAGCCGGCAGTCTGGATGTCCGATGCCTGAGCTATGGTGCTTGCTTTTCCTAATTCTTGATAGAACTCGGCCAGGAAGTGTGCCAAGAAACCACGAAATGTCTAAGGTTGCAACAGTGGGGTGGCGGACCATCAGCTCTTTCGCGAGCAAGCAGGAGGCTGCAAAGGAACGGAGACACACTTTCCATGCACTCATGCCAGCACGTTTTCTGCTAATGTGGTAGACTTATGTGAAAGGCCTGACGGGCCGTCTCCACGAGGGGCCAGAGCAGCCGCCGCGCATAGTGCCCGGGATGAAAGTGCAGCCTGTCACGAAGCTTAAAAACTCGTGCAGACCGCGATACTCGATCCCTTGAGACATTAGTTGTTATTTCGTTGGCTGCACCACTTCAGCGTGCTACAGCCTACTGCCGAGAATGCCCCACTGGGGAGCCATGACCTTTGCAAGGATCGATGGCGTGCACTCCGGCCTCCGCGTCAAAAGCCACCGCCGACTTTTCAAATTCCTGACACCTCATAATAAAGCAAAACGAAGTTGAGGCAGCTCGACTGTGTCGAGAAGCCAGTCTGAGTCAGATGAACTACGGAGAAATCTGTGAACCCGATGGCCTAATGCAGCTAACATGCGTGCTGCTACTCCAGATCTCTGAAATTCTTTCTTGTAGCCGCTTGTCGCTGCCGACTCCGAGGGTTCGGCTGAGGCGGAGATTTCAGCTCCTAAGCCACGCGCTTTTGGTGATGCTTCGTCTTGGCTCGCGAGCAAGCCCCCACAAAGAAGGACAGATTGCTAGGCGCGGAGCAATCATGACGTTGGCCTCGGGCTCGTACTTCAGAACATGCTCCTCCAAAACTCCACTTCGGGTCCGAACGTTCGCATTGAAAGTTGTCCACAGGATGACAATAACGACGTATCAGGTCTGAGGCAGGGACGATAACAGGCTCAAGCACTACTGCGCCATGGAAATCGGCCGCTGCAAACCTGGGCCATGCGGGCATTCTGCCGCTTCTCCCTTTGAACTGGCGGGACTGGCGAATTGCAGAATGTCAAGGGCAGCTAACTGTGATTTTCCTTGTGTGTCTCACCCGACGTCAGGTCAGGGAATTAAATGGGGCTTTGCAGCTGCGACCCTTTGTCGGACAGCCTCTGGCGCTTCAGGCCAAGAGAGTGACGTGTCATGAATTAATTGCAATCGTGTCAGGCTGGGATGCCGCGCCTTGTGGCGCTTCAGTCTCGGAACGCTGGTGATTTCTGTACAGAGTACCGACAGTACTGTGACATGAGCCTCTGAAAACTTCCCGTGCAGGCACTGTGCTGCTGGAGATTTCAAAAAACGACGTGTGAAGCAAGGGCCATGTGAACATGATCCCGGTCCATCCACCACAGACGTCCATGAGTAGCAGCTGGTTCGCTGTGATCTCAAAGAACTGCATCGTGAGTCAGCGGGAGCTCAGGCAAGGGCCGCCCGCCACCCACGTTTTCGTGCAGACGCATGCTTCGCATCAGTCAGCTTGGCATTTGTTTAGAGCAGCTCTCATTAGTTTTTGCCGTCGCTTCTTCTCACTTTTGTCACACAGGTGACAAAATGTGCACATGGCACCATTTCTGCAGCCCTGTGCAGCATACAGAAAAGAGCATGGCTTGCAGTCGCCCGTGTAGTGTCCACTGGATCCGATGCTGGGAAGTTCCGATGTTCCCGGTGCCAGCTCGAGCGGAGCGGGTATTGGCGGCTCCAGTTGCCAGTCTTGTATGGGGCACTGCCAGCCAGCCTGAATGTCAACAGCCGGCTCAGCTGTCCAACCATCCGTGCCACCGCAAAGAGCATCCTCCAAGCAAATGACTGGCTTAACCTTGGCTTCTGTCGCATCGTCCTGCCAGTCCTTCATTGTCCGTTGGATCAGTCCGACTTGGGAAGCAGGGCACGACAATGCTGGTCGGTATTCGGCGTCGGGAGCGGCTGGGCTTGCAATATGTATAAACGTATTCCTAATTTGCACAGCCTCAGGTGGATAGTGCATCTCCGAGCCGTCTTCCAAGCTACCTGGGCCCTCCGGGATCGCAATGCTCAATCGCGCAGACTGCCCCGTGCAACTAGGAGCGAACACGTTGCGTGTTGACATGGCCGGAGGTACAATCAAACCCGCTTCCAGCTGCGACAGAATCGAGCCTGTCCGCGAACCGGGCCGAATATGTAGAGAATCCATTTCATGAAGCAGTGTTGGCAAAAGTTTGTGGCAGCCAGCAACCTATACCAGGCCCAATGGCCTGGCCTGAACAATTCCACAAACAGGGCTCAGGGTGAACACCCTGCAAGTACTCAATTGTCCCTGAACTCGGGCTCGCACCTCCGAAGAATGCAAGGTAAGACAAATGAAACCCGAGAGCCGGGCATGTGCAGAGGCCCCACGCCACCTAGGATTCTCAGACGTCCCCACCAGCATAACCCAGCAGTTCCTACCCCAACAAAGCCGTCTTCGATGCGGTGCCGTGCGTAGAAAATCGATGCTGCGGCAGAAACGTGCCTGTGAGTACAAAGCGCCATGTTGTCTTTGGCAGCCAAAGGACCGTAAGCTTTTGCGCGAGTCTTTGCCACCAAAGCGTCGCTGTCTCCATAGGCCTGTCCATGTGTGTAGGACTGCAGGGCAGAGATGGAAACCACGAGGTTGTGGTACAGTTTAAGTGCACCTCCCGGAAGACGGCAGCAAATTGCACGTTCCGGTCTGCACCGCCCAGGCCTACAGCCTGAGATTGTGGGACAATTCACGCCGAATCAAATCAAAGCAAGCAGCACTGGACTCATTAGACATGCTTTGAATCGCTCTGTCCCATCCTCATCCAAAGTTTATATTTAGTACAGTCTTTGGCGGGGCTCCTATCTCTGTCGTCAAGCTTCCGCCTTTATACCGCCTGCACATCAGAATAAGAATCTGAGGTCGGTGCCGCTACGGCGCAGGCAGTGCCTCCAGTAGATGCGGCTCGACCCCAGGTTTGCGGCATCATGCTGAGGGACTCCGGATGTTGGATGATATGCGCAATATCCGTGAGAATCATACGTGGGATGCGTAGTACTTCCACGCGCCTGGCCAACGGCGGATGAAGCCCTGGAGCTCCGTGTACGAAGCCACCTGGTTGTCGCTGCGTAAGCTTCCGAGTCCCAGATACACCCTCGCATGCGCGCAATCCACATGCAGCAACAAATGTGAATAGGGCCCAGGCCGTCGTTAGACGTAGGTGAAGCTGGATCAAACGCTCGTTGCTGGCGTCCTCACCAAGGGAATAGCCAGATCAGAGTTTCCCAGAACGGAGGTAGAATGGACAGGATTGTGGGTCACACCCCTCCCCAAGGTTTGAAGATGGCGCCGACCTAGGAACGGCAGAAGTAATCACGGACATCCTGCCCGATTTTGCTTTGGTGGCTCTACGCAACTCGCAAGAAGCATGAGGAGCTGTGAATCACTGACACTTCTAGTGAACAGGTTACACGGCACTTTGGAGCTTCGAGACATCCGTAGGCAAACAAAAGTACAGGAGCCCGTTAGTCAGTAAGTAGGCAGTTGAGTTGACGACCAATGACTGACTTCAGCTTTGCATGGCTTCACGTCACGCGCACACATCCCCGCGCGTGCGGGTGTCTCTGGGCTCGCATCGATCAGTGTAGCGGTGCTCACATTGTGTAGAAACGAGATGTGCAAGATCTTCCTGCACGGTTTTCCGGCCAAGTCAGGTCCCTGAACTCGACTTTGAACTCTGTAAGTCGTTGCTACGCGCTGCCTCAATTCTCCTGAATTGGCCCTGACATTCACGACACTGGCATCTGCACCCCGAGAGGCCGAAGAGCTAAGCTCCAAAAGCAGCCGGCCTTCACCTTCAATGCCGGTTCCGCGTTCAGCGCTTCACAAAGGCGCCTGGGATCGCATCGCTCCTGAGCGGTGCAGCGAGCCTGGCCAAGACAAAGCTCGTTTTGGCTTCATGCCTTCCCAGAGTACTTGGGTCCCAGTGCTGCTAACCCTGAGAAATGACTCGATGCTGCCCCCGTCAGGATTTCTGTCAGCAATGGGCTTTGAGGACACACTGCAAGGCTACCTGCACTGTGCAAAGCTATTGTCAAGCCTCCACAGGCAGCATCGAAACCCTTACAGTAGCGTCCAGTCCAAAGATTGAGCGTCCTTTTTCCGGCGCACGATTGAAATGTGCAAAGAAGCGAATAGTGAGCTCGAAACGCAATGTCTGGTTGAAACGACACAGGAACCGTGTCACACCAGTACGGCACCAGTATGCGCTTACGTTGCTGACTATCCTTCTATGCCTGCTGGTTCAAGCTCACACCATTGCACGCGACAGAAATGTCGCAAAACACTACCAGCACTACCAGTACGTACCAAATCGAAGACGCGCCACGTGGACACGATCCATGTCCTGCCTCATGTTCTTCTGGTGTTTGTAGACTATGCCTGCGACTTGGCGTGTAACTCTGGTCGGGAGCTCTTGCACTGCGAGGAAAACAGACCGTTGCAGGAGCTCACCGACCAGTGTCGTCGAGCGGAGCAGTTCAGCCCGCCACACACTGCAGATCACTGCATACCCGCACCTGGTATCGGCAACTACCAACATGCACCACTGCAATGTGTGGGCTGCACAGGCTACGCTCGATTTCATCGCCCTTGGCCAGCCCTTTTCAGCAAGTCGCTCCAAGTTTTCTTCTCATGAACTCTCGACACTACTGATTCGCATGTTGCCCTACACTACTTTTGTCAATCGCGTCTTGGTTCCAAATGTTGTCGACACCAGACACCACACATAAAAAGCTTTTCAGGAGTCTCTCTACAAGTGGCGAACCGAACAAACAATGAGCTTGGTGCATCACACGGATTCTGTAAAGGTCTAAGACTTTGAAACAAATAACACATGCACTGCAATCAAAGCCGAGCTGGAATCAAGACTGAACCGCACATTTGTCATTTTCGAGTGTCTGTCTACCTAACTGCCGTTGCTAGCTATTGTTGTCGTGTCGGCCAATTCCTGCAAACAGGCGGTTGAGCTGATGCTGGCAGTCATGACCGATAGGCAACCAGCACAGGCTCAGAGCAATTGCGCCTGAAACTTCACGGAGCAGTTCTGGCTTCAAAAGCCATCGCTGCTACTGCAGCGGGGTGACGCCGCTGATTTCTGCTGTGCATTGCATACTGTGGTGACTGGCAAAGAACCCGCAGCACGAACATGAAACTCTCGAAAGAGTATTTTCTGCAAGAACAAAATGCAATCTGACGGCGTGGAACATGCGGAAATCGCTAGTTGCTACTAGTTTGAGTCGCATGTCCTCACTACTTCCCGTCGAAAAGATGCTTGCAACATTGTGGCAGACCTTCTTGTAGCTGCCATCCAGAACCCGCACAATTTCGGCTTGTTGAGTTCACATATACCGGGCCTCTTTGTCGCTTGATAGGAGCATTTCTTTTGAGAGAAGCTGTTGAGTTTCCGTGCTGACTGGATTGCATGTACAAAGATGGATGTGCACGCAAAGGTAACGTGCTATCTGCCTCTCTCGGCACACCAGACTTTCTAGAGACTTGTGTAGACACATGTTGATGGATGTCAGCATCCACAGCTGCCGGATTGCTTGATGCATTTCTTCATGCAGACTTGTCTCGTAGCGACAACCGCTGGCCCATTCTGGCTCAGAAGTGTGGCTGCGAGATCAAAAGCTTGCTCCTCCACGTGCGCACTATGGTATCTCCGTTCAATGCCAAATTCCAGCATTAGCAATTAGCGGATTCTAGCATGAACCACGCTTGCATGGCATGGAGCAAGCTTTCAAAGAACAAAACTTTACCAGGCACATGCAACGAGTACATCCACACTCCATGTACCGTCCATCACTCGGTCTATGTAGTGGCTTGTGGGCACACCAATAGGCTTCAGCATGACGGCACTTTGCCCAAAACACGACACGAGCCTACTCTACGTTGTTACGTCTGGTCCGCCCAACGTGCCATGAAATTCAAGTATTTCTCTTTGCTTTCATTGTCAGCTGCATGATGTTGCTCATTGGCAGGACTGACTCCTTAGTTGTGAGTTGGTGCAGGCGAGACGTGGCAGCTGACTTGCACCACTCTGCAAGCCGGGAGTCATGTGGTGGACAATGCCAAGCCGATTGATACCAGAAGCAGGGACACGCATTTCACAGGCACCTGGCTCGCAGCTTCAGTCTACGAGCTTGTGACAAGCCCAAGCAGCAACACAGGACTTATGTGTCATTCTCCCTGTCTTTTGGCCCGAGATTGCCGCGTCACATACTAAACGTGTTCATCCGACCCAGCTTCTCTCAACAATAAACGCTGGCGCTCAGCAGATCCCATGTGCCAGCTTGGAGACCTGCCTGCTCTACTCCCCGTCCCAAGCCCAGAAGGCGATGTGAGATGATGGCCTGGGCGCACTCGCATTCAGAGACTTACCGCTTGCTGCTCGAGGCCTCCACCAAAATCGGACAGTCAAGTTGCAAAAATCAGATTGAATAGCTGCTGTAGGCCGCCTGGAGGTGGACAACTTCTGATTCGACTTTGTTTGCAGACCGTGGATGTCTAGATATCATGCAAGCCATTGCGTGGTGTATGCCTATGCAATCACCAACGCCGGCCTGCGCGTGCCGCAGGCAGACAAGAAAGCGGTGCCAACTTCAAACTTTCAAGCTAGGCTGCTAGGCACGGAGGCAACACATGATGCAAGCAGTCATGTCTGAGTGAGTGAACTGTGGCCTTCGACGGCATTCACAACAGACGGCTCGTAGAAGCCGGAGTAGGAGAAAGTGACGAGGCACACCCCGATCCTGCACTCACTTGAGTCAAGCACTCTGTCTCTCTCGTTTCTTTCTATTTCTTTCTGCCGGGCTGAGGAGTCGCCTAGTGCTGTCTGTCTCTCGCTTGCTTGCTTGCTTGCTTGCACGCGGTATGGGTTCCCGAAACAACCCTGCAGGCCTTTAGTGGCATGCCTCATGCACAGGTTCAGTCCCCCTATGTGCACATACAGACATGGGTGTGGTTGTGTTTTCGCAGGTCGTCCATGATGCAATATGATGTGACCATACACACTTACAGAAAAACCAGACAGTGCCGTCGTGTAAACA